TAACAGAACATCAGCACCACAAACCTTGTGCAAATTTGCCCTGAAGAGAAGCAAACGGGCAGAAAGTTTATGAAAATAGTGGGGGCTATTGAGCTGCAGAACCATTTTCCACACGGAGTCAGGAAAGCCTCCTGTTTCAAACAGCTTTGAAAGACAGCCTAGTTGGACAGGCCTCCTCCAGCCAAAAATCTTTAAGGCTAGTGAAACTTCCTTAGTTCACCACAGGGCTGTTACTCAATGTTGTAAAGCTCCTGTGTGTGTCTGTGGCGGAAATAAAACAGTTCTGTGCAAAGATGCACAACACTGAAGCCATGGGAGGAAACTGAGGCCATTTTCCAGGCCACAAAGGGCTTTGAGTGTTGCTGTTTGCTGAGGCACTGAGGGGTGGCACAGACCAAAACCTGGGTCCAGAGAAGCAGCCAGGAGGTTTGCTGCCGCTTCCATGGAGCCATCCCCTCACCCCAAGGTCTGTCCTGAGAGGGATCAAGCCCCTCTTTGGAGTCCAGGCATTTCCCTCTGTCTGCCCCTGCTTCTCTGAGAAACAGGGAAAGGAATGGAGTTACATTCTCTCTTTAGCCAGCTCTCTTTCACTTAAATAGATTCTGATGTGAGCTGTAGTAAAATTGTTCAGTGAAAAAAAAAAAAAAACAGGTAAGAAATACAATTTCCTACACACTTTTATGCATTATATTTTTGAAGGCTTGGATTTTTTTTCAAAGTTTCTTATTTAAGCAGTAGCTACATGTAGACAAGGTTCAAATCTCAGTGGTTTTACCTGGAATTTGCTTCAGGTTTTACTAAACAGCCAATTTCATCACATACAAGGAAAGACAGGAATAGCAAGAAAAAGAATTATGCAACTTGGGGAAATTTCAGCATTTCCATTCACATCATGATCTGATTTATCTGACTGACTTGGGTTCCACCTGTTGTTCTGAGATGTTTTCCAGCAGTAATGACTATAATGAGCTTTTTGTAAGCTTCTTTTAATTCCCCACATATTTCTTTCCTGTTTCTGCAAATATAAATTTTGATTTCTAACTCATTTTTTCAGCAGTGAATGCTACACCCCAAGCATCACAATAATACAAACAAATATTCATAATGACCATCTTGGAAGTCAAAAACAAAAAGCTGTGTTTTCTGAACATGTTACACACCACCACATGAATAATGGCTGAAATTCGGGGAATTACCCAGAGCAAAACCACACCAAAATCCCCACAGTGTGCCCCAGCAAAGTTCAGGAGCCACAGAGTACAGCAGGTCAAATCACTCTTCCCAGGATTTTCAACAATCCCAGCAGTGAATTTAGAACTTGCCTCTGTTTCCAGCCTCAGAACCTGCAGTCACCTCACACGCCAAGTTACCTGTGTAAGGAGGTAGGAAAAAAGTCATAAATCAGACTTTTCTCCACCTGATAATCGAACAGTGAGGCACAGGATTTTCATCACATTGTTCCTCGGGAGTGTCCCTGTTCACACCACTGAGTTACAATTGAAAGCAAAACCATAGGTGAGGGTACATGAGCAAACCTCTCTACACAATAGCCTCCCATCAAAGGTAAAACTAGACATTATTATTCTTGCAGTGAAATATAGCCACTCCTAGGGAAGGGAAAGGCGGGAAAAAAGCCTCAGAAAGGCACACATTTTATAGCACAGAGCAGTGTGAAAGAAAGACTGGGCCAGGAAATTATTCTTTCTACAGAGGGCACTTCTATAGTTTAGGCATGTATGTATTTTATATCTTATACCCCTGAAGATGGAAAGATTAAGATTGATCCGGGGCCGAGCACCAGACTGTTTAACAAATACCAGATTAAATAGTTTACATTCCTCTCTCTTAACTGATAAACTTGTACCTTATATGTAGGTTAGCAGGCACAGCTTTTTGGAAAGGTATCAATATTGTATTGTTATACACACACATTATAATTTTTAACTAGATTTTGAATTTGAACAGATTCATGGTGAGATCAATAATAATTTGAATATGTTATTCTACCATTTTTTTCTCCAATATTGGCATATGAATTATACAGTTGAATTTAATAGACAACTTCTGAGGCGACCATTAACTCAAACATTCTTGCAGCAATTAGCTTTTATCTGCTATGGATCAATTTCAGCATTTTCTATTTGGAGTGGTAGTAAGTGCCAAACTAAAGACGAATCGCAGCCAAGAAAAAGCTTTTTAAGAAAAGCAGATGCCAGGCAAAAAGAGCTTTCTTTTTTAAACTGTCCCCAGCCCAAAATGCTTCTCGATAATCCCCCATCGCCTTCCTCTCCTCCAGGCTGCTGTGCCAGAGACAGCCCTCGGCTGCCTGCTTTGTGCCGATGCTCGCACAGGGTTTGTCAGCTCCGTGTCTGGGACATGGGGAAGCATTCATTCCCACTTTAAAGAGTGTTAACCAATCCCTTTAAAACCCCCAAGCACTGCGAGTCAAGTTCATGGGTAGGGCAGTTTCTGCCACTTGAAGTCCCCAGCTGGTGTTGAGCTGTTGAAAACGACTTAAACAAACAGCGCTTTTCCTAATCCGGGATGTTCTGGTAGTGCTGCTTGCTGTCCGTGTTGACTATAAAGGTACCACCCGAAGTCTCAAAGGTCTTATTAGTAGGTGTGTCCCTTCCTGAACATCAGATCCAGGATTTTTACTGATCATCTCACAGCTAACGCTAGCAATTTAGCAGTGATTTATGAGGACTCCTCCCGTTTCCTTTTTTTATAGGCAGAAGAGTAAATATGGAGAGATCAGTGAGCCCTGAAGCACGTCCTGCATGTTCTACTTCTCTACTTTGATTCCTGAATTAGAGGAAACATTGTGGTGTATACACTTACATGATTTTGCTGCATCAGATTTATCATGGGTATCTAAATGTTAAATTATTAAGCTGACAGGTATTCAGATTCATCTGTGCTCCTGAATACGAAATTACCCATATCCAGAGAAGCACCAGGCTTACATCTGCTGTGGGCAGGAAGTATTTCACTGTACATCCTCATGACCTGTAGACCTGGTACTGAATTATTTTCCACTTTAATTACAGTTTCACTGTCATCACTGACAAGAAAGGAAATGGTTTCAAGTTCCTTTATCTAGAATTAACTCCAGGCTGTCAGATAAATACATTTTCCAAACTCAAGTCTCTTAGCTTAGCCCTGAAAGAGTCAGTGAAACACAACATGTGTTACATTGGTTGTGAGATATTTTGCCAGGAGAGATGCTATTTCAGAACCATTACTTATTGCACAAAAGCTTGAATAGGCTCTCTCAAGAAACAGCACTTCTCATCCTCTTCACGGCAAGAGAGAATTATCCCTGATGGATAATCACCTTCCCTCTCATCTTACACACTCACTCTTCACCAGCAAGGGCAGCAGCAGTGCAAACCACCAGGCTTGCTTTAGAAAAATCCCAGTTACCAGCTGCTCCCCAGCTCAGTGCAATAGCACCATGGTGGGCTAAAGAAGGTCCACCAGAAAAACCTTCTATCAGGACAGGAAGCAGCAGTGAGCTGCCAGCCTTTGTCCTTCCTGAAGGAACCTTTAGCATTCCAGGATCCCAAATGGTAAATAAGAAGCGTCCATGGTACTACAGAGCTGCAGACGATCAAGAAGTTATATTTCAGTGCTTGGGCTTTTAAATTATTTGTGTTATTATTTTTCACAGTTGCCTTCCTCCCAGCACATCCCTTCCCTCTGTCCCGGTGGCCATGCTGCTGGCAGCCACTAGAGGATGCCCCCAGGTCGGGTGGTGGCAGCAGCAGGGCTGGTGGACAGGCAAGAGAGAATCCTCCCAGCCTCGCTTCTGGGGCTGTTCTCCCCTGCAGCGTTAGCACTCGTGCCCTCCCACACCTGCAGGAAGATTTTCCATTGCTGGGGGTAGCCTGAGGTTGATTTTGCGTTGTGGTGGCAGGGGTGAGGCAGTGCAGGAATTTCCCAGCAGCTCCAAACCCCTGTGGGGCGAGTGGGAGATGATATTTCAAAGCAAACAAGACTCAAGCACTGGAGAGAGTGCGAGGGTCCTTCTCCAGGGTCCCTCTCCAGCTGCTGAGTTGAATTCTTCCCTGATGTAATGTCCCGGGTGGGTTTCCTTGGGCAGTCCTGCTCCCCTCCCTGGCCCGATGATTATCCAGTAAGCTGCTCATGCCAGCTCACCTTTTATGAAAGCACCTCTAGATTTCAGCCCAAGGTTTATTTATTGAGTTTCTCTGCACTTTTCCTTTCTCCTGCTCTCCTGCCAAGACTCAGAGATGGTACAAGGCCTGGAAGTAAATAGAAAATGCCAAACTTGGTTTTTTAGGTCACCGTAAACTACGTGCTTATCTGCTTTCAGAATACATAAGCCACAGGATGTCACCTCAAGTCAACACAGAAGGATAAGGACTAGAACGCAGGTCTGGCTGTAGATATGAATGTATTGGGATCACGGTGGGGAAGTGCATGTTTGTATACAAGAAATACATTTTTTAATCCAGAGCCCTCTTCCTTTTTCCTTACAAGTTCCATATTCTTCTGGCAACAAAGGTCTTTTTATATCTCTGGGGTTTCATATTCCACCCAGCAGCCTATCATAGGAGAGCACAAATCTACTAAATAGTAAAATGAGGGATTACTTCCACTCATCTGTTGACAGACATTTCTCCAAATTGGATCAAATGATTAAAGGTATTAGAATGACGTCTTGCAGATCCAGATCAAATCATTTGAAACCTTGAGAGTGTTTCTCCTTTGCTTGGAAGAAACCACCAGAAATAGTTGTAGGTGCTAATTGCCCATTATTCTCACTAATGTGAAATTGTTAATTGGGACCTTTGAATATTTTACTTACTTGAATCCTAACCAGGGGTCTTCAAGATGGAAGGACTGTGCAGTATCTTGCTTCCTGACGTGCCCTTCGGGATCTCTTCCGACGCCTGAATGGTTCTGCCTCAAATTGCTTACACTGAGAAGAGGGGTCCAGGCTGTGAAGTCTTCCAACATCTCCCACTACAAAGATGGCACTGCTGAAAGTCAAATTCAATCAGAAGAAACGGGTAAAACTAGCACAGGGACTATGGCTCATGAACTGGTTTTCGGTGTTTGCTGGAATCCTTGTTTTTAGCATGGGATTGTTCCTCAAAATTGAGCTCCGGAAGCGAAGCGAAGTGATGGACAATTCTGAAAGCCACTTTGTGCCCAATTCTTTGATATTGATGGGTATATTATCCTGCGCCTTCAATGGTTTTGCTGGAAAAATTTGTTACGATTCTCTGGATCCCGCTAAATTTGCCAAGTGGAAGCCTTTGCTGAAACCTTATCTGGCACTGTGCTGCGTCTTTAACATGCTCCTTTTCTTTGTGGCTCTGATTTGCTTTCTCATGAGGGGCTCCCTGGAGAGCACCCTGGCCCAGGGGCTCAAGAACGGCATGAAGTTCTACCGGGACACGGACACCCCCGGAAGGTGCTTCATGAAGAAGACCATCGACATGCTGCAGATTGAGTTCAAGTGCTGTGGCAACAACGGCTACAAAGACTGGTTCGAAATCCAGTGGATCAGCAACAGATATCTGGACTTCAGCTCCAAAGAAGTGAAAGAGTAAGTGGCTTGGTGGGGTTTGTGTCACGTAGTATCCATGTTTGATCAATGCTGGCCTCAATGCCAACAGGCGCTGACTGGAAGGGGGTCTGTGTAAAATGGGGTCTTGTGTGAAAAACCGTCCCAAATGACCAGCTGGATTGCTTCCTCCCCTGACAAAGTCCCCCAAAGTCATCCATAACATAAAATAAAAAGCACCAAACTACAATTCCCACTCTCACTCAGTGTGATGTAAACAGACTTAATAGTTTTTACTGTCTTTTACTCTTTATAAACCTTGAGCCACACTCCCAAAATCAACAGGAAAGTATCAAAACTTTACCAATCCTTAAGCAGATGTCAATGCGATTGATTAATTTCCTAAAAAAAGAATTCCCTGGAGATATACTGTTGATACCACTTTTAAAACTCCACTCAGATATGGCAGCTAATCATGCATGGAAATAAATTGAGGCAAAAACACTTTGCTAATAACTCATGTCTTTTAGATCCTTAAGATTTAGAATTTTATTTTTATATTGACTCAATGAATTGCTTCAGTGCTTGATAACACTGAGCATCAATTGATGTTCCTAGTGTTACACAGTGGCCCTTGTAGCCATATGTATTTTAAGTTCTGTCCTGTGCCTAATTTTTTAAAACCTCACATGAAAGCAGCACTAGTTTATTGTTTCTGTACAAACCAGATCAGGCTGTTGACCAGAAACACCTTAATGGCTTTGATGTCAGTGCCCAAAGAGGCAGTAATCCTAAAATCAGGTTAGGTGCAGTAAGCTCAAGCAGAAAATAAACATGAGAACAAAATGAACCTTTGAAATTAAAAAAGTAGCATTAGGCATAAATACCCACAACCTTTTAAAAAATTAAGCACTGGGGAAAGAAATGGTTATTCCGGGTTCTTTGGGAACATCATTCATTAACATTTATGCTCTGTGGTTGCATAATGGGTCCTGTAAACTGGAAGCGATCTGCCTTTTAAACATACTGCCTGTATTAAAAATGTCTGAAGTAATTTTGAAAACAAGATTTGTGGATCTCTTGGGATCTCTTGGGATCCCTGCCTGACTGTGTAAATGGTATTTCACTTTGTGTGTCTCTCTGCGTGTTCTTTTGACTTGTTGGGTGGTCTGGTTGTTTTTGCAGTTCTGAATGAAGATTTTTCTTAGTGAAAACCGTTACAGATTTAACCTGTTGCACTGCAGGGTGTTATAACAAATGCATTCACTACTGAATAAGGGGATGTTTCCATTGCAAAGGTATGCCCATGGCTATAAATAACTACTTGAAAAAAACCTCACCAGCATTATATGGAGATTTGAGAGCTGTAGCTTAATCCAGCAGCAATGGAAGGGCAAGGCACAGAGGGAAAACAGGGTTATACTGTCCTTAATAACTTATGCCTTGTTTGGGACTGAGACTCAAGGTAATTTCTTTGTACTACTGAGGCAGGAACTAGGACATTACAAATCTACAAACAGGTTTTAGTGAATTCAAGGTTTGTGCTGTGTGGTGGTGCACAATCTCTGCTCCCTTTGCTGGTGGGATAGTCTGGCCCCTTTGAAGCCAATAGTAGAGTTGTCCTTAGTTCCAAGAAAGGTGGGAGTCTGTCCCCCACAACGGGGTTTTTATAGAGCAAAGGCCTGATGCAATATCCAATCTCTCTGAAACTGGTGTAGCATTTACACATGAATGGGAATTAGACCCAATTGAGAACACAATTTATGTTTAGAGAGAAAACCTCAGTTGTATTTGCTGTTTAGATATACTTAGGTCATGACTGAAAAGTGGAATTTCTCTTCACCAGGTTGTTGGAATCACCTCTCTATGACACAATTTTAAAATATCCATATAGAAATCTACAAGTGACACTCAGGTATTTTTCACCTCTCTACACCACTGGGACTCTCTATTCCGTGATTTTCTAAGCCAAATGGCCTGTTTTAAAACTGCAGTCCTTTTATTATAGTCTTTCTGCAGAGTCAGTGGAACTATTTGCCTTCCAAGTTATCTTGCATCTAAACATCTCCTATGACACCAAGCTAAATGACTGTTTACAGAGAACAACCACAGTGTGAGATGAACAATAGTTGGGGAGCTCCTGCAAGGACTTTGGAAATTTTGCAACATCCTGTTGCTGAAGCACATTTCATGTTTTCAATACTGGCTACCTTCCCAAGCCAAGAATAAATGAACAACCGCTCCCTGGAGATATTATCATCAAAATAAGCTATTAGGTTTGCTGGATCAATGGGTATAGTGAGTTTCAAGACTGTTCTGAGTTCTTTTCTAAGCTCAGGCCAGCTCCAGCACCTCTCTTCCATCCTAACTATGCTGTGATCGCTTTTTTCTGACTGTCCTTCCTGAGTTCTCTAGCCGTTTACTTTTGTTAAATACTAATTTCTTTGAAGAAGTGACCCAAGAGCGTGCATTTCTGCCAGGAGGAGTTAATTACAGACTCAGTGTAGTCTTGACATAGAAAAGGATTTTTGAGAGAAAGGACACCTTGGACAAACACCGCTATGTGAACAAGGGGACATGGAGAAAAGGCATGGTGGAAAATCCTCCTTGCTTTCCTTCCTCGTGCAGATTTGCTGTTGGATATCTTTGTCTGTGTGCCTGTGTGTGTGTCTGTGTGTGTATTCACGCTCCCTTCTGCCCTTGCCCGTAGCCGGATCAAAAGCAACGTGGACGGGAGGTACCTGGTGGACGGCGTCCCCTTCAGCTGCTGCAACCCCAGCTCCCCCAGGCCCTGCATCCAGTACCAGGTCACCAACAACTCTGCCCACTACAGCTACGACTACCAAACCGAGGAGCTCAACCTGTGGCGCCGCGGCTGCCGGGAAGCGCTGCTGAACTACTACAGCGGCATGATGAGCTCCATGGGCGCCGTCATCCTCCTCGTCTGGCTCTTCGAGGTAACCCTTCCCTCAGACACGCTGCAGTGAGCGGCCAGCTCTGCAGGAGCAGGCTGTTTTTCAGTGTGGGCTTCTGAGTGGAAATCAAATCTCGTTAAAATAAATTTCCTGAGAAAATATCTAACAGCTGAGGCAAGGGTTAAAAGGTCCCAGGCTGGAATCAGAGGTGGAGGAGTGTGGGATCACAGACCACTCTTAGCACGGGCCATAGCCTCGAGTATCCCACAGCAAGAGGGGAAAAGGGAGTGATTTTCTGTCAAAGGCAGGGTGTTGAGCAGGGAACAGAGTGCAAGGGCTCTGCTGTCCAGATGCATTAATTTTACATGCATCACCATTTGTGGGGAACGAGAAATACAAAAAAGCAACACATCAGAAAGATGTGATGGTAATTAGTGGGACAGAAAGTGCAGTTGAAGGGTTTACACCCTGAACAAAATAAGGCTTTCAGCCACACACAGTGACGTGATTTCAAGGCAGCGTGTGGACCTGCATCAGCTCCACCAAGGTATTTGGTCAGAAAAAGTGGTTTAGGTGGAACAAGTGGATTAAATTAATTTTATTCTGCTTCCCAAAACCACAACGCAAATGCAAACTGGTGCCAACACTGCCCAGGGCAGGTGTCTGTGGGCACCATAACCCAAAGTGTAGCTTGGCTGATAAAATACTGTTCATCCAGTGCAATGAATCCCCTGCCTCTGGGAGATGGCCAGTTTTCTAGCCAGGGTGTTTAATCAACACTAATGCTCAGAGAGTGTGGGCTGGCAGTGGCACGAGGGCTGGAACGTGAGGTGCTGGATGTGGAGATCAGGCAGGACCTGCTGGTAAAAGGAAGAGTGCAGCAGATCCTTTCCCATCCTTGAAATGGCTGCTGCAAAGGGCATTGCCTATTTTAGATGATTCAGCTCTCTTTTAAAAAATTTAGATACATGCAAATTAAAAAAAGATGAGTTGCATTTTGGTACAAGCACGGGGCTACAGCCTTCCAGGAATGAAGATGCTTTTTAGAAAATAAACACCTACCTAAATCTGTGAACTGAAAAAAAACCCATGAAGTTACTCCATGTTGCGTTGTTTTAAAAATAACTGCTCTGAACTGCGGAGAAATATATTACCTGTTTGCACTGTTATTCTGCTAAGAAAAAAAAGAAAAGGTCTTTGTTTTAGCCCAGATTCAAGTGCAGAGCTCTTGAAGAGAGGGGAATTTCAACTGTATTTGAAAGTCAAAGAAATTCAAAAACTCAGAGGAAAAATGCACAAAAATACCAATGCAAGAAGTCATGACTAGGGGCCTGTAACATACCTCTGCTAACTTGCAAGATATTAATGACAGTGATATGTTAACATTAATAGCAGCGATAAAAACGCAGTATTTTATGCCTAACTCTTCAAAGTACACCTGGGTATTTTTTTCAGCCTGTGGCATAATGAGAAATAAGATCTTTTCTTCTTTTCTTTGTCTTTTTCAAAATAGAAGGTGAGACTTTTTTTCAGGCAATCAGATTACTTTTAGGGCAAAACTTGAAAGAAACAACACGATCCTGGGTTACAATAACTTGCCCTCCTGAGTATTTATTACTTGCATGATATTCTACCATAAAGGGACCAGATTTGGGTCTGAAATTCCCTTTGCTTTTAAGGCAAACGTTGAAGGGAGGAAGCAAAGCAGGAAACTGACATTAATTTAGTGTCCCTTGAAATACAACAACTTTCTTTAAATTCCAGTCAGGATAGGAAACAATTTTATGCTGAGTAGGAGGGCAGCAGAGGTTCCAACTCCTGGCCAAGGTAAGTGTGGGTCGGAGCAGGGTGAGCCCAGGGGCAGTGGTTGTGCTGGCTCCATGCTTCTCATTTCCACTTTGACTGACTTCCCAGGAAGGCACAGAAAACTTGCAAAAGGAAAATCCTGGGTTGCTTTACACCTGCAGCCACCGTGGACTCAAACCAGGTACTTGTCCAACAAAGCCCTTCTGGGGGCCGTGGACGACTCTTCCAGCTGGGTTGCTGGAATTGAAGTGTGGGAAGAGGGAGATAACATGGAGGGGAATTACTAATCACAGCTGTTATTCTGAGCTTTAGAAAAAGGTAACAAGCCAAACAGGCACAGGGACCTCAGGGAAGGCCATTTCCATTTCACCTTTCTATATTAGGCACAAGGAAGAACGAACCTATTCTGAAACATCAAAATTTCTATTTGAAAAGAATGCTAATATCTAGAAGCTTCTTTTCCTAACAAAGGCTGTAGGCTTCCCATGTGTGACAACCAGTCATGAGGATGACAAAAAAAGATCACACCCTGCTCTGGCTAAGCCGCCTCAGGCTAAACCCTGGCAAACAGATGGGCTCCGCTGCAGAAGGTCAAGAAGAGCAAGCCTGGATGTCTTCTTGACCTGCCTCAGCCAGCAAAGAGGAAAAGAGGGGTTCAAGGGTGCCCTGAATAAGGCATTTCAAAAGGAGCAGAGAACTCAGGCTGGTTCCTGAGATGCTCCAGGTCCTCCACTTGTGCAAACCTGTGGCTCTCAATAGGTCACAGCAGCCACAACAGCCAAGCCCCTGGGATTCACCTCCCGTGTGCCACAGACCGGGCCCACGCTGAGCTCCAGCAGAGCACTGAGACATCCACAGGAGGCACATTGCATGTCCTCTGTTGGAGAGTAAACTCTGTGATGCATTAAGAGAAGGAGTGAACTCCTGGTGATCTCCAAAACAGCCCACGGGCAGCAGGGACCCTCCAGACAGACACAGTTTGCTCTGTTGGCCCAGCTGGAGGGGCTGAGCGTGCTGTGGAGGGTGCAGGGGACCCACCAGCCCAGCCCATGCAGCCCTAGCCCTGGAGAAACACTCTGGCCATGTTCTTCCTGGCACTTTAAAGTTGCTGTAAAATGACAAGAGGTTCCATGACAGGGAAATCATCCCTCAGCAAGGCTGGCCTTGCTCCAGGGCTCTGACACTGCAGCCTCCTGTGCTGGATTGTGGTTGAGCTCAAACCTGCAACTCACAGACTGGTTAAGGCTGGAGGTTTAGCTGCGGCCTCACCAGGGCTGAGCAAAGGGGAAGAAAGATCACATTCCTCAATATGCTGGCAATTATTCCTCTAATGCAGCCAAGAATACTGTTTTCCCCTTTTGCCACAAGGGCACATTGTTGGCTCAGGGACAGCTTGGTGCCACCCAGAGCCCCAAGGCCCTTTGCTGCCAAGCTGCTGTCAGTCAGTCACCCCCAGCACATTCTGCTGCATGGGGTTATGCCTTCCCTGGTGCAAGACTTCAGCTAAACTGGTGGTCCCAGACTCTCTGTGATCATGTAGGAGTGAGACTAATTTACCAGATACTTCTCTCAAACTTCCTGGGCTCTCTTCTCATCTGGCAGAGAAGGCAGGCTCACATCAGTGGAGGTGACAAGGAGACAGACATTTTGCATTGTTTTTAAGGAATCTCAGCTTCAGGGACTCAAAATCTTGCTTATAAAGGTTTTTAAGAAAAAGAAGTCTTGAACTGAGAGAAAATGTCACAAAATCTCTTCCAAGGACAGGTCAGATGCTCAGTGCTGTACAAGCACCTTCCGATTTTAAAAGCATGATAATATTTAGCCAGATGCTCAGTGCTGTTCCGATTTTAAAAGCATGATAATATTTAGTGACTTAGAGCCATCCAGAAAGCCAGTCCACATACTTTGGCTGTCAAATAGTAGCACTTGGCAAGTCAATCACAAAACAAAGCTCCTGCTAACATGCAGAGAGCAATGTGGAGGCCATTTCCTGTACCCAACCCTGTTAATCTGCATTTGCGACAGCTATTGAATTCAAAGATATCAGCCCCATGAGTGAGAGCAGCAAAACTGGAACTCAGAGTGGAAGGAAGATGTCAAAGGGCCCTGTTAATCTGCATTTGTGACAGCTATTGAATTCAAAGATATGAGTGAGAGCAGCAAAACTGGAACTCAGAGTGGAAGGAAGATGTCAAAGGCTTTAAATCCCAATACTAAGGTGATGGGATTTGTCACTTGTTGTGACTTTTATAGAATAGTGCTTTAACTGATTTAAGTCATCATATTATTGGCTAGGTGAGACTATTTCCAGACTCAGAGCCACTAGAAACTTCCTTAGTGACCAAAGTGTGGCTAGTCGTACATTTCTGTGTTAAACAGTATGAACATTTGCCTTTGGATATGGACGTATTTGATGAAACTTGTTTGTTTGACCAGTGTTTTTCACTTTCTGACCTTGAGTGAAGGCAGAGAAATACGAACACCTGCAAATGTTGAGAGTAGACAAGTGTAGCTTTAGTCTTCCAAGAGTTTGGAGACACTGATCATATACAAGCAGGATGACCACAGTAGACAGGCTGATGGATGGTCCATGGAAGCACATGCTTGGGCAGTGCCTCGAGGCCAAAAGCCAGATGTGAATTCTGCCACTGGCCTTGCCATGTGGCTGCATCCCAGCCTCAAATCTGCCAGCCTCTTTAGCCATCAGGGTTGAGAGGACCAAAGGTAATCAGTTCCTTGGGAAATTGGATAGTGTGACAGAGGCATCTTACTTCCCTTTGAGAACAAATCCTGTGAGGTCCTGACAGCAGTAGGTGTTCTCCATCTGAGCTTTACCCAGCACGTGAAGGACCAAACCAACCTTACTGCTGCCCCACCCCAGCCATCAGCCCTACCGCGTCACCAGGCTGCCTCTTCTGGGAGCTGCTCTTCTGTCCTTCTCTACTTCTCTCATCAATCACTTTCTTCACAAGCACCACAAGGGCAAGGTCAGATTGTTCTGAACGGTGTTAAAAGGCAGGAGACTGGCTAAAAACACACTTTCTGTCTGGAGGCAGGTGCAGGGTGTTGCCAATGTCAGCAGCATTACACAGTACAGTAGAAAATGTTTCAGTCAGGGCTGCTGGGACAAGGTAATATTTAATCAGAAACATAAAATTTGTTTTAGATGGAACCAGGGAAGGATCACCTGCTGCCTTGGTTTCCTTATTTGCACATATCTATATTAAAACAAAATCAGAATCTGAAGCAGACAAACTAATGGCTCAAATCCTAACTCTGCTCCGTTCTGCAGAGACACTGATTCATTAATATCTCCTTGATCAGCTTAATATACTCACCAAACATATTAAGGTCAATGCAAAGTCAAAATATTTAGCTAAAACTAAGTGGGTGGTGGCCAAGGACAGTGCTGCACATCCAAACTGCCTTGTGGACATCCAGTGCACAGCAGCCAGAGATGCACCGACACTGCCGGGGCTGGCGGAGAGGCCCCTTGGGCACACCCTTGGAGCTCTGCTGACAGCAGCAGCCCCGGCTGCCCCAGCAGGGCACAGCGAGGGTGGGACACAGGAGTGTCCAGGCCTGGCTGGCAGCAGGCCACAGCGAGGGTGGGACACAGGAGTGTCCAGGCCTGGCTGACGCTCTCCTCCTTTCCCGTTGCCTGGCACAGATGTCGGTGATGGTTGGCTTGCGCCTTCTGCACACCTCCCTGGAAAGCATTGCCAATCCCGAAGACCCCGAGTGCGAGAGTGAAGGGTGGGTCCTGGAGAACAGCCTGAAGGACACTTTCAAATCCGCGCTGGAGAACTTGAAAAAGCTGGGTAAGTTCAACCAGGTGGAAGCAGGAGCCGAAGGGGCCGAAGGAGAGGAAGGCGGGAAGACGCCAGCCATCACTACAGTCAGTTGAGCTGCTCATTGAGGTGGACTTTTTCTCAGAGAAAAATAACACAAACTGATAATTGTGAATATATCTACATCTTAAAAGCTATGTATCAACCACCAGAATACACAGTTCTACGCATGTTCACTTTTGTACATGGGAGCATACAACATAGTGCACCTTGGGATAAAACACTTATCCACAATGTGAGTACACCATATCCATATCCTTCTGGGAATATGACCCCAACTAGGACTTGCAATATTCACATGTTCCCTTGTCAGAGACAGTTAGTTTAAGAAAAAAAAAATGTAAAAAAAATATTGCAGGCATCACAAGGCGATTTATTCCATCTTATTTTGAAATTAAAAGTGGAATTTGAAAAGTTATTATTTTTTGCTCAAGTTGTTTCATCAGCATACTTTCTGTACTTCAGCTTTTAAGGACAAACAGATTGGGTTTCTGGAGAGTAACATGATAGAATTCAAAGAAAGAAGGATTTCCAGAATTGTATATAACTTAGTATACAGGTATTTTGACAAACCTCTCATATGTGATTTTTGTTAATGTGCTAAGCAATGGTATTTTCTGCTGTATTCTTAAGACACACATAGAACAAGATGCAAACTTATGCTGAGAATTTATGTACTAAGCAAAAATTGTAATTTAATGAAGCAGCCCAGCATCATAAAAACAACATTCAGGTAAGATTGAGGGGGTTTATTTCTCAGGGTTTTTTTGCAGGCTGTATATCTGGAATATATGTGTTGTAGACTTATGCTTCACCTTGTATTTAAATTCTTTGCAGAAGCTTAGAAGATTCATCTTTTAGTGGGTGAAATCCAGGCTATGAGCATGTGCCAGTTATGGTTACTCTGGGCATTTCACAGAGTATGTCATCCCATAACTTGCTCCAGAATATTCAAGCACAACTATATTTAAGGCAAGAAAAAGACAAACCCAAATCTAGAGCCAAATCCAGGCCAGTTAGAACTCACACATTAAATGTTTTCCAGGGGCCTAGAAAGTGGATACCATTCATCCACAAGTACTTCAAGCCTCACCCTTTCAGGCCAGGGAAAACTGAGTTTAAATCAATCCCCAACATGCAAATTTTACTTTATCAGTGAGGGGGTACTCCTCATTAGATCTTTTACATCAAAGGGAAGGCACAATTTGCAGATGCTGCATCTCTCCAAACTTAATGTCATAGCTGGAGGATCCTGTTCTCAACTTGGAATAAACCACAGAAAGAGTTTGCTGTGGCATGCAGCCTCTAATAAGGGAACAGAGCATCATCTTGAGTTTATTTTGCCAGATAATTTCAGCTAAAGGGAAAGAAACTGGAGAGAACAAGCTGCAGTCCCCTGCACCAATGACTGCAGACACCTCAGTCCCTCCCTGCAAGCCAGGCACCACACTTACTTTTACCCTGGCTGTGCAAACCCTCTACTTCTTGGGGGTGTACCAGGGAGAGGTTTCTCGGTGGGTCCCTTCTCCCTGGCTGGTGGCTGCCCCTCAAAGGCAGCAGTGTTTGCAGCTGCGTCACCACAGCACAGCCCCCTGGTTTTCATTCTTAATCACTTGTGCACTTGCCCCAGCAGCACTCAGCTCCTCCAGCTTCTGTCCCAATTCCTTCTAGATGGACAGTTCAAGGCAGGACAAGCAGGGATGTGTCCGTACATCACGCCATAATTTCCATCTCAGTGCCCAGGTTGTTTCAGGCCACCTGCACACAAGGTTTCATTTTGACAGGGGTCTGTGGCGTCCTTTCACTTTCTCAAAGCTGGTCAAAGCTTTCAACTTTAGTTATGGTCATGAATTTAGTTACAACAATGAATTAAAAATTCTCCTCTCCAGTGCATAAGACAAGGACAAGGGCACTGACAAAAGGCCAACTTGCTACTCACCACAGCCTATCGTCTCTCGCTCTGCTGAGGGACAGAACTGTACGAGCCCACGAAGCTCCTCCCTGCCCAGCAGGATGTCACTGGGGCCAGCTGCCCCTCTCAGCTGGCCCCTCAGGGAAGAGCAGGATTGTGGATGGCACACAGTGTGGCCACATGTACCAGAGAAGAGCTTGGCAGAGGAGTCACGTGTGGATAGGAGCTGCGTTACAAGGATTAATTACAGTCCTTCCTTGGGAGGCTTCAGCGAGCTGTGATCTATACCAGTTATTTGACTAGACTGACTTTTCAAAGAGATCTAGATTTATTGTTGCCCTAGAAATCTGGCTTAGGCCACTAATTTAGACAGGACTCTCCAATTATTCATGGTTTCTGGTTTTTATCAGCTTATTGCTAAAGCAACAATTTTCATACCATTCTTTCAATGCCACACTGGAGAAGCCAGTTCCCAGAGCAATGGTATCAGGCAGGTAAAGAGACCATCTGAGACAGGTTTTTTATGAAGAACAGTACTGGAACCAGGGAACAAAGAGTATATGGGCTAATGCTGTCTAAAATAAAGCCTCCTGGTTGATGAAGATCTTTGTGACATCTTATGATTATCACAAGATTGTAATATGACTGCTTTGTACAATATTACATGTAATATATCACTCATCCAATCTTACACATACTTGTGATACTGCAAATGCTGTTCTAGATAAAGATATTTCTGCTGACTGCAAATGTAAATTTAGGTATTAAAATGTTATTGCAAGTAAAGATCTCTTTAAAGAAAATGTTTAAATATATACAATTTAATACAGATTTCTTTAATTTGCATTACTGCTGTCTTTTTCCTTCTGATTTCATTTTTTGGATCTGTTTTATGTGTTCCTATAGGTGGGAAGGTTTTCCCCACCTCTACACAATGCTCTGAGAGAAAGCAAACATTCCTCTTTTCACATGCCCAGCTAAGCTCAGGATGTGCAAGCAGACCCCTAAATCACCTGCCTCTTACTAGAAATTTGCTGTGCTATTTTAATAGCATCTTCTTGTAGTACATAGGAATTAAAACATCTTCACAGCCATTAACGTGATGTTCTGGTCATGCTGAACCAGTGAAACCACTGACATCCTCAGGGTCTTTGACAATCAGCTGGGTTTATAACCTCTTTTTCTCCCCCTGTTTAAATCTAACTTGCAATGGACATTCAAAAGGACACATTGTTCTTATTTTAAATTTAAGTCTAAAGCTCACAAAGTCAAATCTCCCTGCAGCAATCCGACAACTTCCAGAGCCGTGCCCTGATTTTCAAACTAATAAACTTCAGAAGGATGTGAACTTAATTCATGCAAACCAGGCCACTTCTTTTTAGGTACCTCCATATGGATTAGCAGCTTAATTCCGAGTACCCAGACCTCAGAGTCAGCCCAAGGCCTTGAAGTGTCAACTCTTAAGAAATATCACTTTTGAGAGAATGACAAAAAATACATTATTTTACAGATGACATTTATTTGAAGGGACACAGAACATTGACTAAAGTGCTTTAAAGGAGGAAATATAAACAGCTTCCTTAAAGCTATTAGTTCCTAAGTAGCCTTAATACAATTGATAAGATTAGCTTGGGCATTTGGTAATACCACAGAAATACAAGTGTGCAGCTTAGTAAAGAGCATGGGAATGCTATATCAGGCTCACAGGCACCACGGGCCTCCTAGCTGATGGGCTGGGAAGATTTTCAAGGCTGATATAAAGAAAAAGGGATCCCAGCAAAACAGTTCCTGATTTACACCCAGCTTGCTTGTTTCGTGAAAGAAGCCAATGCTGTTTTTAGCATAATCAATGGAAAAAGGGGACGGATCACAAATGCTTATTAAAAAAAAAAAAAAAAGAAAGAGCATTATTAGAGATTAGTTAATTAAGAGATAAGGCCAGAAAAATAGAATGGAGCCATGTGATAACAGCCCCCTGTGGGGAAGGCACAGGCTTAGGCAAATTTATTTCTGGCAACAGCAATGCAGCTATCTCAAATCTGAAGTCATGCCTACATGGACCATTTCCTGATTTCTACCAGACCTATAGTGTTCAGTGACTGACTGAAACACTGAAGTAGTAAAACACCTCTCTCCAAGCACCTGCATTGCTGCTCCCATGTCATTTCATAGGTATTTCTGAATCTGGATCCAAAGCACAGTTGTGAGGTGGGACAGCTGGAGGAAACTCTGGCCTGGAGCTCAGCTTTGTAGACTCTCCATCACAGTCTCTGCAGCACCCTGCCCTGGGGGATATCCCTTTTTGCAGTTCCTCCCTAACATCTGGGAGGGCTCCACAGAGGGAGGCTGAGCAGGATTATCACCTCCCAACCCACCAGCTCTCCAAAAAGCACGTACAAACAACTACTCTTGCCTGATTGTTTCCACTAAGAGGATAGCCCATAAACCACAAGGAAGTACATTTCCAGTTTGTTCTCAAAGCTCTCCAGAGCAAAGGGTGGTGCAGGAACCAGAGGAACCAGTCAAATAGTGAAGCCAGGACCAAAGGGCAGGTCTGCAGCCTGCCACCAGACTGATGCACACCCCCTGCACCAGGCAACCAAGCAGCACATCCCTGGGCAAAACAGGACCAAGCATTGCAAAGCAGAAGTGAGGAGACTTGGGCATGTGGAAGATGGAAAGGCACAATTGCAGCTGGAGGGTGATGAAAGAAGGAGAGCAAAGCACTAAATCTCAGATACACAATTCCCCACACTGAATCCCTTGGTAATAGGGTGAAAATGTTTCGTTCTTGAAAAAAAATCCCCACAGAAGTCACTTTGAAGTCTGTGATGGTGCAGAATTTAACAGCAGCACCAAAGAAATGCTGTCCTTCCCAGCTGGAGATGCACAGAGCCCGTGCTCCAGCCAGGCAACAATGTCAGGATACCCAGGCTGGAAGGAGACTCTGGCTGTGTTCATCAGTTCCAAGGCACACACAATCCCCAGACACATAATTTTCCTCTCACAAATCACTTCCTGCCTTCCCAGCCATCCAAATAACCTGTCCAGAGGGTGGCACAGCTCTGCCTTAGACAGATGTGTGTGAGTTTTCCCATTTTCATATGTGTTTTCTCCAGCACAAATAACAAGCTAAGGTTAAAAATGACAAAAACACAGGGGGGACATATCAAAAAGGACAAGGTGAATTCACAACTTTGTATGAATGAATCTTTCATTAATTACATAAATTAATCAAGACCTTAAGTAAAATTGATTCTGTAATGTTGTTGTTGGCATATTTTAAGTAAATTCTGACAGCATTTCTTGTTTTCACCCCAGAATGTTAAATGTAATTAGGACTTAAAATTCAAATTTATTCTCTACTTCTCTTAGTTGTTTTTATATTATTTTAGAGTATTTTAGATTATTTTTGAGATAGGTAATATTAAAAATGGATCAAATGCATTTCAGGAAACATTTTGTTCAGGGAAAAACTTGTAGCGGTATGTCTGGATTTCAAATAATTACTACCACACCATATCCCTGATTCCAGTGGGAGAAAACAACTTTCTGTCCCCTCCCTCTTTGCAAGGTGGCACTCAGCCAGGAGTGCTGCTTACACAGGTAGACAATCCCAGTGCCACACAGTCTCCTCAAACACCTCTCAGCCAGGTCCAGGTCTCTGTCACTGGTGAATGTTTACAAGCAGATCCCAAATCTCTGAGAGCAGGATTCAACCCCTTCCTGGCCTCACCACAACCACTGCTGCTGCAGCCCTGGAAACCACATGCACCTCAGCAGCCATGCCTGGAGCAGGGCATCCCACCCTGAGCACCCACTGTGCAGTGAAGCAACACATCAGGTCTTGGGTTTGCTGTCCTAAATGGATGTGACACCTTTCAATGCCTGGATAACTGCTCTTCCACATCTGCCCAACAATTTGAAATGCTGCCCACACACAAATGTTTGTCTCACACACACTGGCATTAGAAGCAGTTACCCCCAGCCTCCCAGCTGAACACTCTGTGCTTCTGCATGCTCCAAGTGACACACATGTTGCTAGTGTAGAGCATTTGCCACTCCATTAGAAAAAAAACCCTCAAAATTCCTTGTTTCCAGCTCCATCCAGTTGAAGCTGACAGACGGGATCTTAAAGACTGCATTACAAAGTAGTACACAGAAAAAAATCCCCACAAAAGTTCTTTGTTTCAGAGTTCATGCCATGCTCCAAGCTTTCAGCTATTAGAGCACTTTATGAATTACCAAAACCTGACCTGGAAAGAATTATTATATGAGATGCCTGACTAGCTCAACAGCATGAAGTAGCTGCTTAGCAATTACTGCAGATTTTT